GTGCTGTTATTCTGTTATTCACCTGCGCTGTTATTTTGTTATTCACCTGTGCTGTTATTCACCTGTGCTGTTATTCTGTTATTCACCTGTGCTGTTATTCACCTGCGCTGTTATTTTGTTATTCACCTGTGCTGTTATTCACCTGCGCTGTTATTCACCTGCGCTGTTATTCTGTTATTCACCTGTGCTGTTATTCACCTGCGCTGTTATTATGTTATTCACCTGTGCTGTTATTCAACTGTGCTGTTATTCTGTTATTCACCTGTGCTGTTATTCACCTGCGCTGTTATTCACCTGTGCTGTTATTTCTTTATTCACCTGTGCTGTTATTCACCTGCGCTGTTATTCTGTTATTCACCTGTGCTGTTATTCACCTGCGCTGTTATTCTGTTATTCACCTGTGCTGTTATTCACCTGTGCTGTTATTCTGTTATTCACCTGTGCTGTTATTCACCTGTGCTGTTATTCACCTGTGCTGTTATTCTGTTATTCACCTGTGCTGTTATTCACCTGTGCTGTTATTCACCTGTGCTGTTATTCACCTGTGCTGTTATTCTGTTATTCACCTGTGCTGTTATTCACCTGTGCTGTTATTCTGTTATTCACCTGTGCTGTTATTCACCTGTGCTGTTATTCACCTGTGCTGTTATTCACCTGTGCTGTTATTCACCTGTGCTGTTATTCTGTTATTCACCTGTGCTGTTATTCTGTTATTCACCTGTGCTGTTATTCACCTGCGCTGTTATTCACCTGTGCTGTTATTCACCTGTGCTGTTATTCTGTTATTCACCTGTGCTGTTATTCACCTGCGCTGTTATTCACCTGTGCTGTTATTCACCTGTGCTGTTATTCTGTTATTCACCTGTGCTGTTATTCACCTGTGCTGTTATTCACATGTGCTGTTATTCTGTTATTCACCTGTGCTGTTATTCTGTTATTCACCTGTGCTGTTATTCACCTGTGCTGTTATTCACCTGTGCTGTTATTCTGTTATTCATCTGTGCTGTTATTCACCTGTGCTGTTATTCTGTTATTCACCTGTGCTGTTATTCACCTGTGCTGTTATTCACCTGTGCTGTTATTCTGTTATTCATCTGTGCTGTTATTCACCTGTGCTGTTATTCTGTTATTCACCTGCGCTGTTATTCACCTGTGCTGTTATTCTGTTATTCACCTGTGCTGTTATTCTGTTATTCACCTGTGCTGTTATTCTGTCATTCACCTGTGCTGTTATTCTGTTATTCACCTGTGCTGTTATTCACCTGCGCTGTTATTCACCTGTGCTGTTATTCACCTGTGCTGTTATTCTGTTATTCACCTGTGCTGTTATTCACCTGTGCTGTTATTCACCTGTGCTGTTATTCTGTTATTCACCTGTGCTGTTATTCACCTGCGCTGTTATTCACCTGTGCTGTTATTCACCTGTGCTGTTATTCACCTGTGTTGTTATTCACCTGTGCTGTTATTCTGTTATTCACCTGTGCTGTTATTCACCTGTGCTGTTATTCACCTGTGCTGTTATTCACCTGTGCTGTTATTCTGTTATTCACCTGTGCTGTTATTCACCTGTGCTGTTATTCACCTGTGCTGCAGTGAGTGTCTCACCTGAAGGCAGGGTTGTCTCGGTTGTGTTCCGCTGCCATGATCTCCACCTCCGGGCCTCCATCCGCCACGAAGCGTGCCAGTCTCTCTGCCACCCGCCGTGTGCTGTCGTCCACTGAGGAGGAGACTTTAAGCATCTATCAGAACCGGCAGCAACGCAAACTAAACAACTCACAGGCACACACTGCAGCAGAGAGAGAGCGGGGGTGGGTGGGGGAGGGGAACAACACACACACACACACACACACACACACACACACACACACACACACACACACACACACACACACACACACACACACACACATGCAGATACATGCACACAAACTCACACACACATATTCACTCACTCACACACCCACACACACGCAGATAAACGCACACAAACTCAAACACATGCACACACACACTCATATGGAGCTAGATTAATCTCAATATTTATTCACGCAAAACACACACACACACATGTACACATGGGTTTGTGCATAGGGTTGGGCGATGTCCGCCAATTTGGCATGGTGTGATGTCTAATGTGATGCATTACAATGGATGATGGCATGGCCGTCATTGGCAGAGGGGAATTGATTATTTATGAATTATTTGAAGCCTACCTTTTACACTAGCTGACCCGCATGGTCTTTGTTTGACCCGTAACCAAATCATACATGAATAGAGATAAGTTACGCACAAATGACCACCCGTCAATCAGTTTTTCTACAGGACTCTGGCATGAATAGGCAGAGTGATCTGAGTCGCTACAATGGCGTCAACAAACCTGGTCGGTAAATAAGGTGCACAACCAACAGTGTCTGAGGCTTACACTAAAATGAGTACAAGTGTGAAAGTGAAGGACTGAAGCAGTGTACTGACGCTGTGACATGTTACCTGATAGATTCAAAAGGCCAAAGCGTCATTAGAGATTAGATTTATTCAACATCACCTTTAACAACTGTAGTGAGACGCCATTCAGCGCCACATCCTCAATAAACCGTCTGATGTGCACTGCTCTCTGGGGTTTGTGCTCAAAGCACCCGCCGACTGCCTGGAGCTCAGACGTGCGCATATGCTGCAGCATGACAGAGTGTGTGTGTGTGTGAGTGTGTGTTTGTATGTGTGGTCACGTGGATTTTTCGGGTATCGTGTGGATGGAGAGCTGTTCAGAAACGCTAGATGAAACGCCAGTGTAGATGTGGATTGTTCTCATTCAAAAATGAAATTTTAAAGCTAAGACGTATTGGTGTAAACGGGGCCTAAGTGTGTGTTTTTTCGTGAGCGGGTTGGTGCTGCGACTAGAGCAGGGCAGCAGCATTTCAGCCATCAGGGATGGACCATGGCATCGTCTATCGACCCAACCCTGTTTGTGCATCTATGCATGTGTACATGATGTGTTTTGTGAATTATTAATGAGATTAATCTAGCTTCATACACTCTACACACACTCAACAGACAGACACACACACTCGCTCTTCACTCATTCACACAGTGTTGGTTCAGGTGTGTGTGTGTGTCTCTCACCATCAGACTGTGCAGACTGTTCTCTCCTGAGCTCCGCCAGCCTCTTCCTGTAGTACAGATGCTCTTTACTGCCCTTGTCAAACAGGAACCTGCAAAGCAGAGAAACAGTTTATAACGGTACGCACACACACACACACCTCAACACTCATTTTTGTGCTGGTGATGAAGCCTCTGTATATGCGTCTCAAATCACATGCATATGCCCTACTCTACATCACTGTGTAGTATAATCAGTGCACTCACACTAAAATAGCAAGTGCACTATAAACACTCAAATGATGCATTAATGAACTGATAAACAGACGAGTGGAGTGTTGAACACTTCACACACTCACTGCCAGCAGCTCTGCTTGTGCAGAGGAGGAGGAGCTACTGATGAAGGGGAGGAGCTTCAGCTGAAGGGGAGGGGCTATCAGGCATCGAGTAATTCTCCTACATGAGGGATTACGGAGCTATATGACAGCTCTACTGAATTATGCAGTCAGGACTTTAAGTTCACTGATCTGACAAATGTTAGATGTTAACTGGAAAACACAAACGCCAGTGTTCCACGACTCTAAACTCATGCACTGTAGAGTTGAGTGTATGTTTTTAAGCTGTAATTTGGGACACAACGTCTGTAATTCTCCAGGTAATGTCTGAATCAGCTGGTTCTGTAGGAGTCAAGCTCAGAGTTGTGTGTCAGTCGGTGTTTGTGAGACTCACGAGAATGTGGGGTCGTCCCTGTAATCCTGCATGGCCTTCTTCTGTAGCTCCACACCGCCCTCAGCAATGAACGCCGCCATCTTCTGGATGATGAGCCGCTGATCTGCGTCCTCTGGGGGAGAGACTGTAACAGGCTATGAGAACACTGAACACACACACACACACACATGGTCAGATCATCCTGATGACACATTTACACCCACTATAAGCTTTAAATTGAGTTATAAATGCTGCTTCTAGAATGAGAATGAGAAAGCTCCACATCTATAATCCTCTTAGTCTACGCTGACATCATCTTCAGCAGCTCAAACACTCTAATGGCGAATGGACAGACGGCTGCTTCTCACTCAGGGCTGCTGGACATGCTAATGAGATGGAGACTAGTGGGCGGGGCTTTCCCCTATGATGACACGTACAGAGGGAGAATGTCAATCACAGTGTCTGATTATAATAAACACAGTTCAGTCATGTTGATCATCAGAGGCTGCTGGAGATACTCACACACTGCTGCTGTGTTTAAAGCTCTGACAGGACTCATTTCTGCACATTGACTGTTGTTTATGTCTGTGTGGTACCTTTGATCTCCAGGAAGTGTGTGTCGTCCTCGTCCTCGTCCTCATCGTCAGGTGAGCTGAACACACTGGGTCGGGCTGCAGGTAATGTGCTCTTCTTGGTCTGCGAGTAGTTCTTGAACTGGTTGATCATGCTGCTGACGCCCAGACCCGGACGCTTGCCAATCAGAATACTGCGCTTCTGTGCTCCGCCTGCTGACTGGCTCTGAGCACAGGGGGCGGGGCTGACGGGTCCTGCAGGAAACGATACGCATCTTACTGCAGGAAATTACTAAAACACTTTCATCTTGATTCTATCTGAACATCTAAAGAAAATAAATCAAGAAGAATTTAAGTAGTAGTCTAGTCTTGTTTAAAGAAATAATGCGCCAATAATTAAGCCGTTTGTAGAATTAATGTGCCAATCGGGGAAAGTGAAATAATCTAGTTTTTCCTTTCAGCATCAGATATTTCGAGAGGAGTCTGGCTGCAGACGTGGTGCAGTGCAATCTGGGCTGCATCTAATGCTTTTTAATGGGTTCACCTAACCCCGCCCCTAACCCCACCCCTCACAGTGATGTCACTCGCTTCATTTGAGTGCATTGTGTCTGACATTGCATCGCTGAGTGATGCAATCTCAGCTTGCATCATATAAAGGATGCATCCAGATACTATTGGATTATTCTGCTTCCCCCATTGGCAGATTATTTTGCTTGTTTTAATGAAAAACTCATTTAATTTATTCTCATTATTTCTGAAAACAACACAACATGTTTTGCATGTCTATAAAACGCTTCCTGATTTAAGAATTTGTAGATATTCAGACTGAACGCATGACAGAAAACACCAATCATGTTTTATATTCACTTTTTTTTCTTGCAAATTGGCTGATTTGATACCAAATTATTAATTTTTTACATTATTTATTTTATGGAAGCCAGAAAAAATGAGCAAAATGATTCATTTAAATGTATTAACGATACAATTTGAGGCATAGAGGCAACATATATTAGCGTCAATAATATGAATGTCAAAAAATAAAGTGAAAACAGGGGTTTACTGTGTAGTTATGCTAGATAAAGCACGCTTTCAGAAAACAGCTAAGCGATTCTCTGCCAGTAGATGGCGCTAAGAGATCAACAATAACCTCATCAGGGGAAACTGCAAACCCACTGGCCAGAAAGAAAAGCACATCAATAAAAATATCAGAATCGAAGTGAAAAACTCTGCATGTCTCTCACCTTCATCAGTGCTGCTCTTCTCTCTCTGCAACTTCAGAAACTGCTGCAGGAAACTGCCGTCATTCACAAACTTATTAGATGAAGAAGAAGAAGATGATGATGATGAAGGAGCATCTGGAGGAGGAGAGCTGACACAAAAGATTCACATTTACTCTTCAGCACAAGCTTTCATCCACAGTGACTAACACAGGAGAACAACAGCGAGAAGCTGAGAGAGCTAATAACCAGACGACAGTAGAGCGCTGATCACGACTGCATTCAACATGAGTCCAGCATCGAGATCACAACATACAAGATCTATCATCAGAGGCTGAGACTGTACCCGGCCGCCAGACTCAATCTGCAGACAGTTCATGATGTTTCTGAGCAGAGTTTCTTTAAAGATCTGCAGATATGTGCTGAATGATTTGGGCAGTACAGGAACTAAACACTTTAAAGATTAAAATAGCGCACACATATATATATATAATGCAAATCTAATTAGATCCACGTGTTTGGTAAACAAAGCAAGTCTCTCATATAATATCTCTACTGTAAACAGCAAACATGACTTCACTAACTGCGCTGTAGAGAAATGCAGTAATTAACATTGATGTAAATTAACCAGAGATAGCCAAAAGGCCATGCTCATCTGTTCTCATAAACATCTGCATATTAGTCAATAATCATATTGAAAGTGATATTAAAACTAGATATACTTTATACACCACAGATTCAGTGTAGGGCCGATGTCCTGGAGAGTGTAGCTCCAGCCCTAATCAAACACACCTGAACAGCTGATCAAGCTCTTACTAAAAACACTAGCATTCTCCTGCCGGTGTGTAGAAGTGAGTTGGAGCTAAACCAGGCAGGACACCGGCCCTCAGGACTGAGTTTGGACACCCCTGGCCTATATGCATCTCTGGTGCTAATTAGTTTGTCCAGGTGTGTTTGATCAGGGCTGGAGCTGAACTCTCTAGGAACAGGGATGGTGACTCCTGGTTTATCTGGATATTTTAGCCTGATTCAGTGTTTGTTCAGGTATGAAGACTGGGCTCTAGGTGAGTGTGTGTGTGTGTCACCTGCTGGTTTTGTTCTGGTTCTGGTTGAGGTTGTGTTTGTGGTTCTGCTGGTGTTTGTGGTTCTGCTGGGCCTGATCTCTGAGTCTGGCCTCGATCTCTCTCTTCTTCTGAGCGATCAGCTCCTCCTGCTTCATGATCACCTTCAGCTTCTGGTGGGTTTTCCATCCTCCACGAGCTGACACACACACACACACACACACACACACACACACACACACACACAAACAAACACAAAAGTTTCCCAAAATTAGTGAGAACATGCGACAGATTTGGGCAGCACAGTGGCACAGTGGGTAGCACGACTGCCTCACAGCAAGAAAGTTTGCATGTTCTCCCCGTGTTGGTGTGGGTTTCCTCCGGGTGCTCCGGTTTCCCCCACAGTCCAAACACATGAGCTATAGGGGAACTGATCAAATACACTGGCCATAGAGTATGAATGTGTATGGGTGTTTCCCAGTACTAGGTTGCGGCTGGAAGGCTGTCCTCTGTGTAAAGCTTATGCTGGAATAGTTAGCGGTTCATTCTACTGTGGCGACCGCTGATGAATAAAGGCACTGAGCTGAAGGGGAATGAATTTCTCCTTCCTTTATTTACTCATTGAACTGTAAATGTCCATCAGTGAGGTCACAGTACAGACGCTTTAGCTGAGAATGTGTGTGTGTGTGTGTGTGTCGCAGGTCAGAGCGAGAGCCGTGGGACTCACACAGGAGATCTGAAAAGTGCTTCATCTGAACCAACATTTCACCACACACCATCTCGCTCCTCCACAGTGAGACAGTGCTATGATCAGTACTGTGCATCTGTGTGTGTGTGTGTCTTACAGTTAAAGCAGCTCATGCCTGCTGTCTGTGTTTATAACATTAACAGAAGATGATGGCAGAGCTCTACTCCTGACTGAACACACAGCTCAGAGTCAGACCTGCAGCCTTGTGTCCTGTATATGAGGACGCTCAGAGCAGTGTTATGCAGGATCATACTCTCCAGTCGGTTTCTCTAACGGAAAACTTCTCTTAGGTGCATGAAGAAGCTGAAATCACAGTTGATTAGGGTATTATCTCTGCAGTGTTGTATTTATGATCTCTTTTAGCTCTATTTTGATCTCTCGCTCTCTGTTTTCATCATTACTCCTCCTTCAGCTCAGAAACCGCCGCCTTTCCTTCATATTCAGCCTCAAACATACACCATAACTCAATAAACCAGAAGAAGAGTTGCTCATCTTTGTGTTTAATGTGTGTAAAAATAAACACACACACAGATTATCCGGAGTGTGTGTGTGTGTGTGTGTGTGTTGAGGAGTTTAGCAGTTTAGCTGCGGCTAATCGCTCACAACAACTCAAACACCCTCACCATAAACAGCGTCTGAAAGCGACACGAAAACACACACACGGGCGCAGATCAGCGATGAAAGCGGTGTTTAATCGACATATCTAATGTTTAATCGGTGTTTTACCTGCATCGCTGGACTCCATCGCGCTAAGTGTTGTGAATCTGACGCTTCTTCTGCGGTTTGATGATCGTCAGATGGAAATACAGCAGCGCAGAGCTCACAGCACCTCCTGCTGGCTGACTGATGCCACTGCGCCTCGCAGACAGCCATAACCACAACAGTCTTTGGCCACATCAGACAACACCAGCTTTACATATTCCTCATTGTTTGACAGAAATATAAAGGTAGTTACACCTCTATACTACAGGTCTGCTGATTCCAGGGCAAAAGCTACTCAAATGCACAAAAATGGGCAAAATATTGAGAGGAGTCTGGATGCAGACCTGGTGCAGTGCAATCTGAGCTGCATCCAATGCCTTTTAATGGGCTCACCCTCTAACCCCGCCCCTAACCCTACCCCTCGCTGTGACGTCACTCGCTCCATTTGAGTGCATTGTGTCTGACATTGCATTGCGGCGTGATGCAAGCTCAGCTTGCATCATAAAGGCTGCATCCAGATACTATTGAAAATATTAGATTATTTGTTCATTTTCTTGTCAGCTTAGTCCCTTTATTAATCTGGGGTCACCACAGCGGAATGACCGCCAATTTATCCAGCACATGTTTTACTCAGCGGATGCCCAGTGTGTGGTGCAGTGTTCTCCAGCCTCCAGCGCCTACACTGCAGCTCTGCACAAGACGTTTGGCCAGAGGAGAAATGGTGGAGCCCAGCTGAGCCTGGTTTCTTTCCAGGTTTCTTAATTCTTCACTTTCACCAATTGGTGAAGCTTTTTGGTTCGGCTTGCTTGGTTCGGGACTTGTGGAGTTGTGCATTGCTGGATTTGCTCCTCAGTGTTTGGACTCTCAGCAGTGAAGATTAAACAACACTGTAGGGATAGTTTACAGTTTAACCCAAAGAATGACCAGTCTGGTAGATGAAGAAGAGCCGGAGTCAGAGATTTAAAAAAAAAATAAATCAAGTGTACTGAAGATAGTTTGCATTCGCAGAAGCCAGCTTCAACACTCTCAATGAGTTCCTAGGCCGCTCTGCTTACAGTTTCAACAATCGAACAATTATACTCTTTACACAAGTCCAGAAAGGGTGGGATCCAGGTAAACAGTTCTCATTGGTTACAACAGAAATAGACAATTCTAAATTCATGCGTCAAAGAAACATAGTATCTACTTCCAGATATGGATGGCCTTAATGTGTGCGTCAAAGAAAGCATTGTATCTGTCTCCAGATATGGATGGCAACCTGATGCCTAGAGGTGAGGTCGCCTTAAGTTATTAGGAGCTGATCTCCGACCTGTACAAAGCTAAACCAGCAAAACAATAGACACAAAAGACCATCTGTGTTAAAGACTCAAGGATGTTTCTTGTACGTTCAGCTGTGTTATCAGGCTAGTTCAAGACTGTTTCCATCAACAGTCTGCTGCAATATCTTGGCTACACACAGTCTGTCTCCACACAAAAAGGAATTACATTACTATTAATTATGCTCAAAAACAGATCAATCAAACAGCTATAAAATTATAGGCAATATATCAGGACAATAAAACAGCTGTCTTCTTCTCCTCTGTATTGGACCTCCAGTCATAAGAACAGATGGAGAGAGAGAGAGAGAGAGGTCTCCATGACCTATGACCTGGTTTGTGTGTCTCCTGAAAACAAAGTTAAAATAGACAGGCAAAACGAGAAACAAGGACACAGAACATTCTTGCAGTAAGCAGTTTTAACTTATTCGTTAGTTAAAATCAATTCACAGTTAAATACTGAGAAACAGGATGATGAAAAGGATAAACGGTGGTCCATGATGAGACGGATTGGAAAGCAGAAATCCGAATCCTTCAACACTGAGCTGAGCTGAACTGAAACTCTGAACACTGGACCGACACAGCTTCAAATCACTATGATCTTCTATGTGAAGCTGCTTTGACACAGTCTACATAGTAAAAGCGTATCGAAATTAAGGTGAAGTAAATTGAATATAAAGTTTATGTTTCACAGCCGCCCAAATTTTGTCAACCCGCCAATGATATATATTACCCTCACAATCAAATCCAGAACCGCCCAATCTGGCAACATGGATTCTGATGCTGGATTCTGATTGGCTAATGGTCATGCTCAGGTGTTTGGTTATTGTCAGATAAAGGCACAGCTAAAGTAGTTCCGGCAGGTTTAAAGCAGCTCCATATCACTCCGCTGAATGATTAGAGTCATTACACAGCTACAACAGTCAGAACACAGTCAGCTCAACAGCGGATTACTTTCTATTAAAGTAAGAGATTAATAAGTACCGAAAAAGTCCACATAGGGAGGCTGATCACCAGAATGGGGAAGTCCCAGAGTAAAATGAGAAAATATGATACACAAATATGGAAAATCTGTCTTTGCGCTGTTTTCTTCTGTTCTTATATTATTTGTTTGTATTTCATTTCTTCTTGTCTCTTTTATTCATGTTTAAATCGCCATTTACGGATGAAATGTGCTGTGGAAATACACTTGCCTAGCCGTCTGATAATCTGTTGAGCAGTCAGGCATCTGCTCTTTAACCAGCAGACACTTTCAACACAGAGCATCTTCATAATTAATAATTGTAGGCTAACCATCTGACCACGATGATGCTGCAAACCATCATACATCTGATTTATAATAAGAGATAATGAGTGTGTGTGTGTGTGTGTGTGTGTGTGTGTGTGTGTGTATCTGTCTGTTAGTGCGGGTTTCTGCGAACAGTGCATTTTGAACTAGGTTATTTCATTAATTAAACAGTCACATGATCATCAGCTGTACATCAGGAGTACACACACACACACACACACATACATAGTTTATTGTGTATACAGGTTTCAGTATAAATATAAACATCTCAGTTGTTGTTATAATTATAATAATACCATGTAAACATCTCAGACATGTGACAGAACAGCAGCAGGGCTCCATTTCAGGAACTGCATCTCAATCAGCCACTGCTGAGTGTGCACTACACTACGAGCACTAGAACAGTGTGTTGTATATAGTGTGAGTGTAGTGTTCATCATGATCACATGACCTCCTCCCCGCATCGCTTCACTCAGGTCCATCAGTTCTCTGGCGGTGCATTATGGGATAGCGGAGTGTCCATCAGAAGTACACTACACAACTCCTCACACACTGATTTACAATACTGTGAGCTCAGACACACTGCTGCCGCACACACTGCTTTAACACACTCGACAGTGCGCAAGTGTGTGACTATAGGTGCAGCCTCCTCCTCCTCAGACCCGCAGCTGGAGAACGGAGTTACTGCAGATGATGGAGAACAAGGGTCAGATGGAGAAGTGGAAGTCCTCATCACGAGCAGCCGACACACACACATACACACACAGCATGAGGAGAAAACACACACTCTGCTCTCGGGAGTCTGCAACACACTCCCTTCCATTGGGTTTACGTTTCCTGGTACCTGAGGAGGGAAGGAAGGAAGAGTGAGTCAGTCAGTCAGTCAATCAGTCAGTCAATCAATCAATCAATCAATGAATCAATGAATCAATGAATCAATCAATGAATGAATGAATGAATGAATCAATCAATCAATCAATCAATCAATCAATCAATCAATCAATCAATGAATCAATGAATCAATCAATGAATGAATCAATGAATCAATCAATCAATCAATCAATCAATCAATCAATCAATCAATCAATCATCTGTCAGTGGTAATGATCAGTAGTGTCAGCATTAATATACTGAATGATTATGATGATCTAATAATCTGCTTACACACACTCCACTGCTGTGCATAATCCTGTGTGTATGTTGTGTGTGCGTGTGTGTGTGCGTGAGTGTTACTTGTAATCAATTATCTAAGAACAGAAGAGAACAGAACACCGATGGTGAAGTGTGTGTGCTGCAGATAAGAGTGTGTATGTAGATGATGCAGATTGTTCTAGTGCACCTGTGTGTGTGTGTGTGTGTGTGTGTGTGTGTGTGTGTGTGTGTGTGTGTGTGTGTGTGTGTTTGCACTCATAACAGTGTGTTCGGCACTGGCCAATCAGGGCTCGGCGTTCTCAATCATCAGATAAACAGCAGTAATGCAGCATGAGATCTGGACCCGACCGGCTCCTCCAGTTCAGCTCTTCTTGTTTTCCAGAATGTTTCTGCTCAGACGGAGCATGTGCTGAATTGAGACACGGCTTTTATTTGGACTGGGTAGTGACATTACGCAGTCCGTAAGCTGCTGGCTATAGCGAGTACCTCGACACATTACAGTCAGGAGGAATTTACTTCCTAATTTAGAGGGAGGTTCCCCTGAACCTGAGGAGCAGTGATAGTCTTCACACTTTTAAATCTTGTCTCAAGACCCATATTTTTAAGTACGCTTTCTTATGACTATCCTTTACCATGTTATTTCACAATGTGTTTGCACCTGCAACTCCTTACATGCGTTTAAAATGTAGTTTGACAATGTTTTTTAATAATTATTTTTCGGGGTTTTCACCTTTATTGGTTAGGAAAGTGTAGAGAATTGACAGGAAAGCATGGAGAGCAGAGAGAGGGGAAGGATCAGCACCGCGAGGGGGAATCGAACTCGGGTCGCTGTGTGCACCAGAGTGCATGTGTCGATGCATTTACCACTACACCACTGGCACTGACGGAAGTGTTTTATTAATTTTTAATTAAATTTATTCTGATATGGCTGTTGATGTTTAGTGTAAGGCGGCCTTGTGTGTCTAGAAAGACACCATTTACAAATAAAATGGATTATTATTATTTTATTATTATTATTATTTATTATTTTTATTATTATTATTATTTTTATTATTATCATCATCATCATCATCATCATTATTATTTTTTATTATTATTATTGTTTTTATTATTATTATCATCATCATCATTATTATTATTATTATTATTATTGTTGTTGTTGTTGTTGTTATTATTATTATTATTATTATTTTTTTTTTTCCTGCTGTGGTCAATATTATTAGCCCCAAAAAAATATTATTACCCTAGTGAAGCCTTTACATGTCACTGTAAGCTGTATAGAAGTGTCTTGAAGAATATCTAGTCTAATATTATTTACTGTCATCATGGAGAAGAGAAAATAAATCAGTTATTAGAGATGAGTTATTATTAATTAACTCTAATAATTAAGCTATTATGTGCAGAATATTTCCTAAATGTTGTACA